ATTCAAGAGCACGGAGCTTTTCGGGGCTGGACCCTGTTGTGCTATGCCTCCCTGAGGCTCAACAGAGCTCAATTCCTTCCCAGTAGATCGCTTCGCGCCTACTGGGTGGTGTCGTTTCCCCGCGACGAACCAGACTAGTAGGCATAGCGGCGATGATTCGAAAAACCTTGACGCGCCTTGCGCAGGGGGCAACCGTTCCGAAGGCGACGGGTGTCTACACAGAAAAAACACCGTCGTGTGTTTGGGTGCTGCCCGGCAGTCAGAGCTCTGCTCCCTCGTCCTCAGCATAGCTGACATCCATGGGCATATGCCCGCTCGACGAGCTGCTGGAATGTGCGGAGGGCATAAAGACGGTCACTTTGACCGCCTCCGGGAGGGGATCTGCTGCCATACCGGCAATGAGAGTGCGTATCTCTTAAACAGAGTCCAACAAATACTTGTTGCCCTGTCGGGCGGAAAGATAGCGCGGTCGTACGCGATATGCCTGATTAGGCGGCGAGAACATTCGTTACAGCTGCATTTTCAGCTCCACCCAGGAGGGAAACGCAGCATCGACCAAAGTGCCGCACGTCAGTGCCCATTCTCGCGCTCGACCACCGAGCTTTGCGATGGCTATCGCTATGCGCTGTTGCTCGGTCTGGACCATGGCTGATGCGATGGCCATCTCGACATCTCTCACCCAGAGCAGGAGATTCTCTCCATCCTTCCCCTCAAAGACCTTAACGCTCACCATGAGCGCTTAAGACGGGGAAAATCTTCCGTCATCGACGGTGGCGTCATAGACGCAAATGATGCAGATATCTTTTGCTGCAGGTGCTCTAGCAGCGCGTTTTCGTAATTTGAAAACGCCTCTTGACGCGCACCGATTGCCTCGGGGCCTTGCACCGCAAGGTGTTGCACGCCCTCAGGTCTAAGAAGGAAATCAGCTTGTTACGCCCGTTCTGCATGCCCTGGGGCAAAGAGAAATATTGTTCCATCCTCACAGAGGATCAGTTTTAACTGACTCCGGTGTAGATTGACTACCAGTGCTACCAAGTGCAGCGGGGCTGCCGTAGCGTTGCGCTTAGAGGAAGCGTAATTTA